CCGAGAACACCTCCCTGCGTCGGTGCCGGTGCGTGCTGGGGGGTTGACGCCCGGCCGGCTTCGGGAATCCCCTGGAGGAGGAGGTGCCGGACTCCGGGCCCACGCTATCTCTCACGATGAAAAGAACGCAACCTCAGCTTATCTCGACGACCTCGTCTTCTAGCAGGACCTCGGTGCCGCGGACGAGGCGGCACACGGGCTCGTGCGCCTCGCGGCCCCGCTTCGCGCACGCGTCCGAGCAGAAGCACGCGCAGTGGCACGACGGGCAGGACGCGGCCCCCGGTTTGTGGCAGACGAAGCAGACCTTTTTGACAAGCATGGAGATGCCGACGAATTGGCGCTTGCACTGAAACGCCAACTCGCACAGCGTGTTGCGCTCGACCTGGTCGTTTTTGAGGCACACCAGAGAATACAAGTTGTCGCCCATCCTCCTGGGAACCGCGGCGACGACGCGGATCCCGGCGCCGTGGTAGCGAATGAGCTGCGCGTAGTACTCTGCCGCGTTGAACGCGTCAAAGGCGTGATCTTTGAAGTGGAAGTAGAGCGCCATCATGTCCGGGTCTCTCGATCCGTTGAACTCGCGCAAGACCGCGTTGTCCCGGGTGACGGTTCGCGGCTCTTCGTCGCTGGACGCGCGCGCCTTCTTTGGCGCCGGCGCTTCAGCGACCGTCTCGAGAACCTCGAGGTTCGCGCGCTTCACGGCGAGCGCGCCGCCGAGGTCGAGCTTGACACCGATGCGGCCCTCCGGCCCGGCCTTCTTGCACACTCTGCCCAGCTTCCCGTTGTGCTGCGTCGCTTTGGCCAATCCGACGACGCGCACGGACGTACCCACAGCCAAGGCCTCGGACAGCGCGCTCATCGCGCGCGCGGCCAGGCTCGATTGACAAGGCCTTGACAGACGGGCGAGTGCCTCCGCTGCTCGGCGCCGTCAGCTTCGACATCATGACCCCAGGGGCGGATATCGATCTCGCGCTCACGCCGAGCCGCGACGCGCCCGGGGTCTCGAGACCCCGGGCACCCGTTGTGACCCCGGGCGCCCGGGGTTTGCCCTGGCGCCGCGAAGAAGATTGGATGACGAGCGACGGTTTTTTGGCGGTGTCGACACGGGTCCCTTCGAAGGCGAACGATTACCGACTCGGACTCGAGTTGAGTCTTGAATACGAATAAGAATGCGATCTG